CTGCAATACGAGCTGCTAAGGAACTGACTTCTTAGGCTTTCAAAATATTTAAAATTTGGGCTTAAGAAGTACATATATATTTCAATTATGTGAAATCTCGTACTTCCCCCTACTTCTCTCAAACTGAAAGTTTTCCCACAGCAGCAGCTAGAATTTCTCATCTCCTGCCCTTGTCCCGTATTAAATAACTATATTTCAGTTGGCTTTCCTTTCATCTTAGCGCCATCTCTGGGTCAGCAGCTTAAGCAACAGCAAAACAACAAGAAAACGACACAAAATCTTCATCTAAACAACCAAGTAAAATCGTAAGCATAACAAGCACATTTATAAGCTTAAGTCTTTATCTATACTACAGCCCATAATATAATCTAAATTTCCACTTTAAAAGTTCTTTAATGATATTTGAAGAATCTGGGAGTAAACAAATTTCGAGGCTGCTTATTAAACCATTTTGCTGATACTTGATATTTGCCATTTTCTTCCATGGAAAACTTTGCTTAGCAAATTAGCTTTAATGGGCTTCAAGTGCGAGTGGGCGTGGCATTGGCTTAGTGACTTCTTTGAATGTCTGTGTTGTCTATAGTTGACTGCCTGCCGCTGACTCAACAGTTCAATTGAATTTGATGCTGTTGCCGTCATGGTTTTTGACTATGAAATCTCGATAAGAAGTTTTTCAACGAAAAAGGGGGAAGGAGGAATGGGCGAGTGGGTAAATGGGTGTGGCAACAACTTGTGGCAAAAACATAATTACAAGCTGCCAAATGACAGCCATAACCGTTACAGAGCCAGCAATAGCAACAGCAGCCAAAGTATCAACAACTTAACCGAATGGCAATAGAAGCCCTAGCAACGCTTTGTCTGATGGCCTGCTTATGGCTACCCCATTCCCTGCTACAACATTCTCTCTGCGCCTCCCCCTTCTACTTTCCTTCCGCTTGCCATAAATTTGTGTTGGAAGAGAAAAAAAAAAAAAATTACAAATAAAAGTTGTCTTCATCTCAGTTTCGGTTCCTACTCAAAAGCAAATTTAATCAAATTAAATAGTTGTAGCATTAGTAGTTTTTCTTCTTCTTCGTTTTCTCATTTGTGTGATTTTTTTTTTTTTTTTTTTTTATGGGCGCATTTGAAGGGTTTGCCGAGTGCTCTATTATCTGTTAATGCTGATGATGATGCTGCTGTCATTGAAATCATAAGCCATGCATTTCTCTAGCTAATGCACTTGTTATACTTTAACCCCCATCGTACTCAGCCCCATCATAGGTTGGCGACCCCAGCTGGAACGATTGGGATTGCCATTCGCTGCTGTTGCCGAGAGTCAAATGTGATGCATTGTCAACTGCATTTATTATTTACAATTTGTATATAAATATAAGGATATAAGAGAAAGCAATACATACACATATACATATATATCCAATCCAATCCAATATGGCCAAGCGTTGACTTGGCTTAGTGGGGCGTGACATTGGGTGGCAGGGGGGCGGCACGGGGCGGCACGGGGCGGCACGTCACTCTCGCACATACATTCACATTTACAGTCCAGTTAACACCCCAGGGACAATGGCAGAGCAGCTACGCAATTTACGAATGCTGCGTTGCACTTTTCTGCTTTTCACACACACACACACGCACGCACACACATACATGTTTGTTACATAAGCTTATGTATAATGGCTTACCCTAGCGTATTTGTATGCACTTATGTACATTGAATGTACACTTAAGGCAACATTCACACATCAACTGAAGCACACACACACACACACACGCACACGTATATATATGTGCCACCTCTCCTGCTCTTGCTGCTGTGCATTTGTAAAGCAAATTTGTATTTATGCTGTTGCTAAAGCATCCATGACATTCGCTTTGGCATTCGGTTTGGCTGGGGTTTGTCTTTCAATGCTCTTTCGACTTTCAGCACATTATGTGCTCCATTTACTGTGCATGTATTGCACACTCACACACATGCACACACACTTGAAGACGTCAAGTGGCAATTTACATTAGTTTTATTGTATTAGAAATTAGCAGCTTTTAGCAGGCAACAGCAGGCAAAACTTTTGCCTCAGGCGCAAGTAACCTGTGACTCTGTGTGTGTGTGTGTGAAATATATTTGCCTGTAGCTCAGTGTACACTCATCCAGCATATCAAATTTCGACAGCTGCACACAAGCAAATTGATTTTTATGTGACATTTCTGCATTTGGGCCATTTTAGTTGAGTTAAGATTTGGATTTTCTCAGAGGATTTTCAGTTAATAACTGATATGTTTGCTCAAATTGAATTTTGTTCTTAAATTATTTATGATATTTAGAAAGCCACAAGATAATTTTAGCATTCTAAGCAGCCTAATCACAAGGCATGTATGTATGTAATCTTTCAGTTTGACACTGCCGAATGGATGTCTTAGAGATTTGAGTGATAAAGATAAGTGAGAAATGAGAAATGAGGCTGATATTAACATAAAGACTGACTATATTCATATACATATATATGCGATTCTTTTCATCTACTATAACTGAAGTATAGTTATAAGTAGTTTTACCGAGAAATTATAATCAGGGCATTCAGAGCAACAGGTGAACATGCAGGTAACATGGCAATTGGCTGAAGGCCCTCGCCGTGTTCTGGTTTTATGTTAAGCTAGATTGAAACAAGTTTTCAGCAATCAAAAATAAGGAGACATAAATTCGCACACGAACGAGCTCAAGCAGCTCTTATACGTAATGAAAGGAATTCTGCGAAAAACTTAAGTAAGTTTTGAAGTCAATGATTTGGCAGAGAAAAGGATTAGAGCATAAGGAACCTGCTTAAGCTTAATCCTTAGACAGGCATACACAAATTTTAAGGACTTTAAACTGATTTCATTGCGCGTTAACTTCAAGCTGAAGTGTAAATTGCTGAGTTCGCTCACAGGATAAACTTCTATTTATATCTCAATGTTGTCAACCTAATGCACGAACTGTGTAGATAATTTCACAGAATCTTTTATTTTCATTCTGCTTAAAAATTGTTGTCAAAGCTGAAAATTAATTTTATTTTTTATACCCTGAACCCATTTTCAATGGGAAATCAGGGTATAATGGTTTTGTTGAAATGTATGTAACAGGGAGAAGGAGGCGTGGCAGACCCCACAAAGTATATATATTCTTGATCAGGGTGACGAGCTGAGTTGATTTGGCCCTGTCCGTCTGTCTGTCCGTCTGTCCGTCTGTCCGTCTGTCCGTCTGTCCGTATGTATGAACGCGTCGATTTCAGAAGATATAAGAGCTAGAGACTTCAAATTTTTTTTAAAATGTCCGTAATTACAGCGCGCATATCAAGTTTATCATTAAAATTCGATAACTCATCCCGATCTTTTTTTATCGATAAAAAACCTTATCGAAAACCAGTTATAAAATTATATCTTCTACACCTTTATTGCTAGAGTCTCCAAATTTTTAATGTATGCTTATATGCAATTTATACAATTTCGGTTTTTGTTAAAATTTACCCCCCACCCTTAAATTCACCCCCTCACCCTCACTTTTGTAAAAAGCGTATTTCAAATACTAGAGACTTGTGCTTTGGCAATTACATGCATATCCATGTTATAATCATAATCTGAAAGTTTCATGAAGATCGTACGTCCATAAAAAAAGTTATTAAACAATTAAGTTCTCATAGTAAGCGCACACTGCAGCCCATGCGTGTTTATGCGTGGGTGCTTGTGTGTGTATGTGTTTGTGTATGTGTGTGTATGTGTTTGTGTATGTGTGTGTGTATGTGTATGTGTGTGTGTATGCGTTTGTGTATGTATGCGTGTGTGTGTGTGTATGTGTGTCTGTATGCGTGTGTGTGTATGTATGCCTGTGTGTGTGTGTGTGCGTGTTTCTTGTGTAAGCTGAAAGACGCGAAAAATTATTGAAATATCTATTGCTCCAAGGGTTCAGGGGATCTCGTAGTCGAGCAGTCTCGACTAGAGCTTTCTTACTTGTTTTTTTTTTTTTTTTTTGGGTAATGTTACATAAAAGTTTAAATACTAAAATATATTGAACAAAGTAAATGTGTATCTGTATCATATCTGAATTATTTGTGAAACCCGTAAAATATTTTTTTCTATAGTCAAATGTAACTCTATATAGACTACAGTTTTACTAGTCTCAAAATTTGATAAAGCAACGTTAGATATTTGCTTGAACTATTAAACCATTGCATCTCAGCGGTCATATGATTATTCTATATATTAAAAAATTGTAAATATTGAAATTGAAACAAAGTTTATGGATACAAGATTTAAGATATTCTATATGAAGCTGAAAAATGTATTAAAAAATATATATATATATATCAATTAGCCCAATGAATATTTCTTACTCTTAAACCATTGGATCTCGGCGGTCATATGATTATTCTATATATTAAAGAATTGTAAATATTGAAATTGAAACAAAATTTTTGGATAAAAGATTTAAGATATTCTATATGAAGCTGAAATATGAATAAAAAATATATATATATCAATTAGCCCAATGAATATTTCTTACTCGGAATATTAGCTGTATATATTTTATATAAGCAATGCCTCAAGACATAATTGATCAATTTCATATGGCAAGCCACCATTAAGAATTAATTGATTAAAAAATCATAAAATAATATTGAATTTACGCATTACTATACATTTTTTTTTTTTTCTGGAAGACCACTCCCATTTTTTTTATTTTATTTATTTTTCTTTTTTCATTTCATCAAGTGTAGAACTTGTTAACCCAAAAAAATTAACTCTAAACAATTTGAGAACACACGAATGGTCAGTGTGGAGAATTGATTGAATGCTACTCCACAAGCTTAACTAAACTGAAACCTAACTAAAATTTTGTTACATCTGGAGTAGGCCAAAAATAAAGCTAACTCAGCTAAAGACTATCCAACTCAAACTAACCTAGACTTTCGGTTCCTACTGTGGATGATGAGGCTGCAAATAGACACTGAGACAAGACAAATTACGCTGATGCCTAGACAATGTGACACTCGTTGACCAGGACAACATCATCGTTGACCATATCGCCATTGATGTTGGTACGATGCTCATGATGTATGGGACAGCTAACAAGCAGTTCGTCCTCCTTTGGCTTGGCTTTCTCGGCTGCCTTTTGCATGGGCAGCATGTCAATGGCGTCCTTCAGTTTATCCTTCTCCATATCCTTGTCCTTCTCTTTGTCCTTGTCCTTCTCGTTGAGCTCATTATCGTGATCGCTTATGAAGTGCTCATAGACCTCATGATTATTGCGCAAAGCATTGTCCACGGCGCTGTCAAGGAACTGATAGAGAGGCGTCTCCAAGCGGCTGCGAGGCTGTGGCTGCGGCAGTGTGGGCTCCATTTCGATGTTCAGGTTCGGCTGCAGCATCTGCTGCAGCAGGAACAGAAAGGGCGGCAGGGCCAGCGATGATTTGTGTTTGTGATGATGCCTGGGTGGCTTGGCTGCCAAAGCACGAATACGCCCGTTCAAATTGTTATCGGAATTCAGCAGCAAAACGCCGCCGCCCAGATCGGCAGCTGGCCCATAATTCATATCATGCTGCACGCTCTCAATGACCATGTTCGGTGACAGCAATTGAAATTCCTTCAGCTCCTGCTTGCCATCCGGCGATATCATCTTATTATAATAGACATAAGGCGGTACGGCTGCTGCTTCTGATGGTAGTGCAGCAGCTGCTGGTGGATAGTGACGTCGGCCATGATGCAAGGCCTCTACGGCAGACATGCGACGCTTGTTGCGATGTAAATGAGCAGGCAAATCACTCGATGGCTCTAGCTCCTTGTCCTTGTCCTTATCCTTGTCGGCAATAGTTGCAGCTATCTCGGCAGCAGTTGCTGCGGCAGCTTCGCTCGCATTTTTAACTTGTTGCTTATCGGACGTGGCTGCAGTGCCCAAGGCTGTGGCCAAAACAGGCAATGCCGATTCATTGTTGTAATTGTAGTTGATGTTGTTGTTGATGCCGTTTGTATCTGTGGCATTGAGGAGCCCATCGCCATCTCTGATGAGCATTGCCTGGCATGACCCCAACAGCCATGCATCTGTGTGTGCAGCAGGCCCACAATAAATATTTCGGCATGTTAATTTTATTTTATATACTCACAAGAAATCAATATCAAAATGTTAACAAATAGCTTCTCCATAGTTCGTCTTGGGGTCTTTTATTTTCGGCAGTAATTGAAAGATCTTTGCATGAGAATACAAGTTGAAAGAGCTGAGTATGTAGAGAGTAGGACAGCATTAAATTGGGTTCACGATGTAATATAATATTTAAATTATATATTGTTATA